AATCTTTTGGAAAAATTAATAAGGAACTTTCTGTGGGAGCCTGGAGAGGAGAAGAGAGATCATAGGGTGAGTTGGGAGGTGGTCACTAGGTGTAAAAAACTAAGAGGTTTTGGGATTGGTTATTTCAAGAAAAGGAATATGGCTCTGTTGGGGAAATGGTTGTGGAGGTTTTCATTGGAAAGGGATAAATTGTGGACTAAGATTGTGGCTATTATACATGGGCTGGAAGACAATGGCTGGGATCTTGGCAAGGGCCTCAGTTGCTTCTCCTTGGAAATCCATTCACAATCTGCTTCCAGTTTTCTCCCCTTGGATCAGGTATGGTCTAAACTCTAGTAACAGAATAAAATTCTGGGAACAACTTTGGGTCGGGGATTCTCCTCTGAAGGAACAGTTTCCTTCTTTCTATGCTCTATCAGACTAGAAAAATGAATCCATATCTTCTTTTTTGGTCCCTTCAGCCTCCACTTCTGGGTTTGGGTGGAACCTGGGCCTGCGTAGGGCAATTAGGGATATAGACATGGATAGCWTGGTAACTTTGCTAGCCTCCCTTGAGATTGTCTTCCTAAACCCTGCTAAGGAAGACACCAGATTTTGGACCCCTTCTAGCTTTGGTACCTTTTCTTGTGCTTTATTCTTTGAAACCTTAACTCAGCCTCCTATCCCCTTTTGGTTGTCCTTTCCGGTTAAGGAAATTTGGAGCAGGCCTATTCCTCCTCAGGTTGTTTTTTTTTGTTGGGAAATTTTCCTGGAAAGAATCAACACTTTAGACTTACTTCAGAGAAAGAGACCCAACTATTGTCTACTTCTTAATAGATGTGCTCTTTGTAAAACTGATGGGGAATCTGGCTACCACCTCATGGTCTCTTGTAAGGCTGTTAAAACTGTATGGGAGTGGGTTTTCTCCCGCTTTAGGTGTTCTTGGTATCCTCTAGAGACTATCCAAGGTTTGTTTTCTCCTTTTTTCAGTTGGCCTGAGAAGCGAGGGAAGACTATGTGGAGGTGTATTAAGGCAGTGGTATGCTGGTCATTGTGGGAAGAAAGAAACTCACGTATTTTTTCTGACAAGGAAAGAACATTGGAAAAAATGTTAGATCGAATCCTTTTAAGGGCTGTCCACTGGCTAAAATCTTTGGAGTTGTTTTCAGATTTTCCTATGGATGACTTGCTAAGAAACTGGGAAGAGATTGCTTCCATTGCTAGATGCAAGAGGACTCTTTGTCTGTTTTGGTCCCCTCCCCCCTCGGGCTTTATAGAGCTGAATTTTGATGGCAGCGGTGTAAGGAATCTTGGGCCCTGTGGGATTGGAGGAGTTTTCAGGAATGAGGAAGGGATTGTTATTGCTTTATTCTCTGGCCCTATTGGAGAAGGTGACTCTCTTAGAGCTGAGATCCTTGCAGCGCTTGAAGGAATTCGAAGAGCAAAGCAATTAAATATTAGCCGTTTGATCCTAGAAGGTGATTCGAAAGTGGTGGTTAGTTGGTTGAAGACAGAGGACAGTGGTTTGTGGAACTTTAACAATGAAAAAAAACAGTTCTTATGGCTGGGTAGGGACATTGAGATTCAGTACAGCTGGGTGAAGAGGAGTGCCAACTCATTTGCGGATGGGTTGGCCAAGCAAGGAGTGAATAGGGAGTCTGTTTTTTGGGCTAGTTTTTAATCTTTTCTCTTTGTACTCCCTTTGTTTTCTATTTTTGGGGTGCTAAGATATTTTATCTCCCCTCTTGTATCCATATTCCCTCTTTTCTTTTAATTTATTGAAGCTGGTGTTATTGATAAAAAAAATGAAGTTCTTCCATAAAATGGCTAGCGCTAAAAAGAGGGAAAATTCCGTAAGAGATTGATAGTGAACGGGGAAGTGGTTGAGGAGGAAAGCAGGATCAAGGATCATATTGTGAGCTTTTATGAAAACCGGTATAAAGAGAACTGATAAGACAGGCCCAAACTTGATGGGCTTGATTTTGATACCATTTCAGAAGAGCAAGCTAGAGGTTTAGAGAGGGAATTCAGGGAAGAGGAGGTATGGGATGCAATTAAAGAGATGGAAGGGGACAAGATTTTGGGTCCCGATGGCTTCACTATGGCCTTTTTTAAACAATGCTGGGATTTCATGAGGTGGAGGAATTTTATCATCCAGCAACACTTAAAAAAAGTCTGAACTCAAATTTTATCACTCATTCCAAAAAGGAAAGGGGCTGAAGAGCTCAAGGATTATAGGCCAATAAGCTTGATAGGTAGTATTTACAACATACTTGCCAAAATGTTAGCAAAGAGACTAAAGTCAGTGTTGCAGAGCATAGTTTCAGATAAGGAACTTTTGTAGGACGTCTTATGGTGGATGGGGTGTTGGTAGCAAACGAGTTAATTGACTCTAGGCTAAGAAGTGGGAGGGCTGGCTTATTATGTAAATTAGACTTTGAGAAGGCCTACGATCACATCAATTGGCACTTCTTGGATTATGTGCTGGAAAGATTGAATTTTGGTACAAAATGGAGAAACTGGATGAAGGTTTGTACGACCACGCCAACCTTTTCAGTTTTGGTGAATGGAACATCTTGTGGGAGATTCAAAAGTTCAAGGGGACTAAGGCAAGGGGCCCCTCTTTCCCCTTGTTTATTTGTGTAACAGAAGCCCTGAGTAGAATGATTAGAAGGGCTGTCTTGGGAGGTTTTGTTGAAGGCTTTGCAGTAGGGAGTGAAAGGGTGGAGGTTCCTTTTTTGCAATTTTCCGATGATACTCTGATCTTTGGTGATGCATCTAGCAAACAGATTGGCTACATAATGGCACTCCTCAAATGGTTTGAGGTAGTTTCAGGTCTACATATGAACATTCACAAAAGTAAGCTGGTGGCTGTGGGAGAAGTTCCAGAGCTGGAAAGTTGGGCAGAGTGGGGCTGCAATGTGTGCAGGCTTCCATCTAAGTATTTGGGAATGCTGCTAGGAGCAAGATGTAACTCCAAGACAATATGGGAGCCTATTGTGGAGAGAATAGAAAAGAATTAAGAGATTGGCCTCTTGAAAAGCCAAGTGTCTGTCATATGGAGGCAAAATAACTTTGCTAAAAAGTGTGCTTTCTTCATTACCATTATACTTGTTGTCTTTGTAGTTTGTACCCAATTCTGACTAGTGTGGCAAACTGTATAGAAAAGAAAATGAGAGATTTTTTTTGGAGAGGGTGGAAGGATGAGAAGAAAAAATACAATCTAGTAAACTGGATTAAGGCATGTAAATCCAAATTGCATGGAGGTTTAGGTGTGCATAGGGTGAGAGATGTCAATATGGCCTTCATGAGCAAGTGGTTCTGGAGGTTTGGTAATAATCAGGGAAGTCTTTGGAGAAGTGTGGTGGAGGCAAAGTATGGCTCTAGTAGTTCAATGTGGGAGCTGGGCATTTCAAATCAAAATTATGGGTGCTCAGTGTGGGTGGTTGAGAAAGTGCAACACCTTTTCTCAAAAGGGGTACAGTTCAAAACTGGAGACGACTTTAGAGTAAAATTCTGGGAAGATGTGTGGTGTGGAGACAGACCCTTGAAGGAAGTTTATAATTCCCTTTATGAGGTAGCATCAAACAAAGCAGCAAGTGTGGCTGAGAATATGCAGGTGCATAATGGAGAAGTGGTCTGGGCCCCTCAGGTCAGGAGGCATTTGAATGACTGGGAGGTAGAGGCAATGTTTGATTTGCTGCAGAGGCTGTATAGCATCCAAGTGGACTTGGGAAGAGAGGATAGAAGGCTTTGGGTTTGGGACAAATCTGGAATCTTTTCAGTTAAATCCTTCTACAATTATTTATCCAGGTTGGAGGGTCAGAATATTTCAAAATGTACTCACAAAGGTGTCTTTCTTTATGTGCACTACCTATTTGAATAGAATCCTAACCAAGGACAATTTGGTGAGGAAGGGTATGCAGTTGGACTCCACTAACTGTGTGCTTCGTGAGGAGCATAAGGAATCTGTGAGTACCTGATGCTTCATTGTAAGTTTTCTTTTGAGGTGTGGTCTTGGAGCCTTTTTGAGGTGAAAGGTTTCTGCCTGGAATCAGTAGCGGATTTTGTGAATAGCTTGTATTTAAGGGGACTATCCAAGAAAGGAAAGCTTGCCTGGAATCTGACCTCTGCAGCAGTGTTTTGGTGCACCTGGCAGGAGATAAATGAGAGAATCTTCAAGCTTAAACAAAGTATTCAGATTCAGTTTTTCAGAAAATTGTGGGAAAATTTGTTCTTGGCTTTCTGTAAACACTGTAAACAAAGTGTTTGGATAGAAATTACAATTCTCTTTTTGCTGTTGAAAATCATTTTGTAAATCAGGGCCAGAGGGTATAGGGCTGCTTGGGCAGTATTTTGTCAATCCCTGTGTACGGCTTCTTGTTGTACATGATTTCTTTCTATAATGAATTTTACTTTACCTATTATCGAAAAAAGAATAAAAAACTAAGCAACTAACCTAGAATTTAGTTTACTCTGATTCTATTGCCTAGGTTGGCAGGCACTGTACTGTCACCTAACAACTATGCTCATTAGAATCAATTTAATTAAGGGAAAATCTATGCTCATTAGAAATACATGATACCGGAAGGAATTTGACCAATCAAACACCCCCCATGAATTTTGATTAATACCACCTGATTGGTTGCCACTGTGTGATACTAGTTCATTGGTTACAAGTTTTTCCAATATCATGTGATTAATCCCTGTGTACAGCTTCTTGTTATACATGCTAAAAGTAATATATATATATATATATATATATATATATATATAAAGTAGCTTCTGTCTTTTATGAATGGTTCAAATTGCAACAAAATTGTGATCTGAAAACATACATCACATGGTATGGTTCCAGTTCTTGTTTATTGGCTTTGGTTAAAAGATAGATGCAAAGGAATGCTTCACAATTAATTTACTTTGTTATTTGGTCTATATTATGACAACTAATAGAGCTTTCTAGATGATATCATGTTGGGATCTATGCTAGAGTTTTAACTATATCATTTTCATCAAAACAGGTATTTGATGCAACTAATTTGGAGGCATTGAAGTGTATATTAATAGGCCAAGCCTGTGAATCCTCACTAGGATTAGCCTTGCAAGCAGTTTATTCCAAGAAGCCCAGTCTAGGGGGGAAAGAGTGGGGAAGCTAGTGTGGTATTCTTATTTCAAGACACTTTACAATTCTTTCTTTGTATAATTTGTTATACTACTTAAGGTTTCTTACCCAAGAAGTATCTAATGCTCCCTATAAAGAGTATGTACTTTTGCTAAACAATGTAGGATTACCAGTTCTTGCTTTGTCACTTGAGTTGCTTTGGGACAGACTCTTTTTCCTATTGTCTTAACTTCATGTCATCTTCAATATACCTTTTTTTTCAAATAAAATTTATTAATAAACCATTAGAGGAGAAAATACAAAGAGAAGGTAGGGGGACAGAGAAAAAAGGATAAGAACTCCTAGGTTGACTCAAGTCAGCCTCCATATATCCATATTAAACTTTCTAGGTTGGAAACATATCATTTTTTTTTATCAGCAACACAAAATTGATTCATTAGATTAAAAAATAGACATACAACAAAGAGTTGTGGGCACAAAACAAAGCCCAAACAGAAACTATTCACCATTTACAGAATTGCCCAGAACAAAGATTATCTTTGAATTCATTGCTTTGCAAGACCATCAGCCAAACTGTTTGCAGATCTCCTAATCCACCTTATTTGGATCATGTCTTTAGAAATCTGCTTGAATCTCCTGAATTCATTCCTTAACTTCCATATGATTCCTTCCCCCTTTTTCAGCCAGCCCACAACTACTTTTGAATCACCTTCAATAATCAGCTTAGTAATCCCCATTTCTTTAGCTTTCTCTACTCCATAGACTGCTGCAGATAATTTTGATCTCACTCACCACTAGACCTGTTCATGGGCCGGGCTCGGGCTTGGCTTTTGTCAAAATTCTAATGAACCCGGCCCGAAGCCCGAGTCCGAGATGGTGTAAAATCGGGCCCGAAGCCCAGCCCGTGAACAGGTCTGCTCACCACATCTCCACGCCGAATAGGACCTGAGTACAAAGCTAGAATGTTTCCATTTTCTTCCCTAATTACCCCACCAATACTTGATGGTCCAGGATTTCCCATACAACTACCATCAAAGTTTAACCTCTTCCACCCAACACATGGAGGTGACCAGGCCTCATGAACTATTTGTCTTCTGGACGAAGAACCTGCAATTATTCCCACGATCTGAAGAAGTCTTCAACCTTAAAGTCAGCAAAGAGCTTTAAAGTGCTCACCCAATGCGCTACTCATAGAGTAATCACCTCAATCACAACTTCCTTAATTCTTTCCTTGTCTTCAAAGATTCTTAGATTCCTTTCCTCCTAAATTGTCCAGATCAAGGATTGAAATATCGATACGATACGTTCGATATGAGGCGTATCGTATTGGTATCATTAGTGCTCGGCATGGGATACACTACAACTGGAGATGTATCTTGTCAATCGTGTATATCGGGTCGATATGCGTGTGTATCAGTCCGTATCGCACTGTATCGGACGATACATATTGATATGGGCCAATTTAGAACGATACGCTACCCGTGGGACGTGAATGCACATGCACATATTCTTCTACTGAAAAAGAAAGTTGCAAGGATTCAAACTCGAATCAAGAGTTAAGGGAGAGCTTAACGTCCGCACTTGTAAACCAATATGCCACTCCATCTTTTGTGTTTATGAGTAAATGATTATAGCTTTTATTTCTTTATTACTTAAATGCAATTCAAATAAATAATACATATTACAGTTAACTCAAACTAAAAAGAAAAAAAGTAATATTTAAAATCAGTATTTCATAAAATAATAGAAATAAATAATATATCAAAATATTATTTGAATATAAAAAATTTATAAAAATATAATATTAATAAGTGAATAATTATTTTAGTACTTAAGATTTATAAATTTGCACATGATATATAATTTAGATCACATAAAATCATATTTATTATTTAGAAAATAAAAAAATTGTTTACAAAATACTCAAGAATATAATCTTAAATTAAATCTATCAAATCTATTAATCTACATTTATACCAAAAAAGATTTTTAATTAGAAAATTATAGGAATAAAAATATAATAATGGAATAATCATTTTAAAAGTTAAAAATTATGAATTTGCATATGATATGTATCTTAGAAGTTTTAATAGATTTGATATATTTTAAGCTGAGATTATACATTTTATAAATTATTAATGGATACTTTAATTTACATAGAGAATTTAATATTTGGTTGACCTCTTTGTTAATGTCAAAAAGTAAAAATAGTAAAATTGAAAATAATTGATATAATAATTAAAATATAATAGTAAAATATGTTTTGCATTTTGGACTCTTGATTGATACATTATCAATAAAATTGTATGATATCTATGCCTCATATTATATTAATTGTAATATATTTTTTTCCTATACACCATTGAAATATACATTTTCTATGTATTTATACATTATTTATGATTATTTGACCTTAGACTTAATATTATTAATGTATTATGAAATTTTTATGTATTACCCTAGTGTCCATATTTTTCATCCGTATCGATGCGTTTCCAAAGTGTATTTATATCCAAGTTGTCCGTTACGATACTCAATAATGATATTTTAATCCTTGGTCCAGATCACTGCTGCTCTAGTGCATCTCCACATAATTCTGTCTCTTCTTTTAGGGCAGTGGAAAAGGTGAGAGGCTGAGAGCTAAATACACCTTCCAGACAATCAGGGGGAAGCCAATACTGTTGCCTGTTTATTTTAAGGTTCTCTACACCACAGACAATCAGGTTGGAAACATATCATCCCAGTACTGTTCATTGAAACAGATGCTTTAGTGCTGCACATGTTAAAAGGGAAAACAACAGTTCTAATGAATCTGGAGGGTTAATTTTTAAGAGATTAATAAAAGAGTTGGACTGATTGGGGAAATAAAAGCATGTCGACAAAAAAATGGAAGCATGGATTAGAATTTAGAGAAAATGGATTGAAAGAATCAAGAAAGCCTTAAAATAAACAGGCAAGAGAGATAAAAAAGGAAAAAAATTCTATCGTAGGAACAGTTGGACAGATATTAGGAATGTTTAGAGATGAAAATTAATATGACTGATATAGAATTATGAGGGTTCAAAGAGGAAATTTTGGGTAACTTTCATAAACCTTCCCTGTGTTTTCTGACGGATGTTTTAACCTTTCTTTACTATAACTTCCCCAAATATCTCCCTCGGCATTTTGGAAAAAATTAAACAAATAGCAGCCAAGCTAGGGAAGATGGAATTCCCAAGACTGAGTTGCATGGGAGGATAGGAGGTTGGGCAGAGATCCCTTCCGTTAGTTTGATGTTAAGAACATAACTGAAAATGATAATGTCATACTTTTAAACACTTTAAAATTCCCAGTTTTCCCATAGATATTACAATATTTGGAGTGTCTTCAAGCATTTACCAGAAAACACAAGGGAGGTTTAAATAATTTATCCTGAATAATTACTGAACCAACCAATAGTACACAACCACTTTTGGTTTTCTTCTCCCTGGCTTTGCTTGTCATCTCCTCTCCCTGTGACAACCAAACCAGTTATTGAGGACTCTCTGAACTATTGCCGTTTCTTCAATTCATGGTTACTTCACTTCCAGAAGATGGGTTTGGAGCTCAAGTGTGCTCTGTGGTATGATTTCAATTTCTATTTTGTTTTCTTATACATGGGTTTCTTTGAGCAAGTATGCCAACTGCTTAGTAGTTCATGTTTACATATCTAAATATATTAATTTATTGTTTTGCTTGTGTTTGTTTTCTGTTCCTCCTGTTGACATAACCTAAGATACATGTTTCTGTTGCAGCTTAAATTTGCTGAACCGGTTGGTATTAATGCCCTGCAATCAACTTATTCTGCAGGTATCTCCTCTATGCAAAATCTCCTTGTAAACCCAAGTGGGTTTCCGCTAAACGGGTGTTAATTTTCATTTTTGTTTAATTTCAATATTCTGCTCTGGGTAATGGTACTTTTGTGGTCCGCATTTCAAGATCCACAGTGGCTGGTTTGCAATACCCCATTTACAAATTGCCATATGCTGATCAAGGTGGAGTTACAGAGCATTTCGTTGAACTCAGAAAGTTCTGAAACCACGTTTGTTTGAACTTTGCTTACTGAAGAAGTGAATTTCTGGGTTTTCAGGTTTAAGACCAGCTTCTCAATTAGAAAATATAGCAAGCCATTATCCAATATTGGTCCCAGCTATCTGGGATCTTGGAAGAGGTAGATTGGGAATAGCCCTAACCATTGTATGCATTTAGGGGCTAGACTCTCCAATTGGTCATCTCAAGTTGTTCAGCTGGGTACTAAAGCCTTCGCTTTTATTTGGAAACTCTTGTTTAGAAATTAGAACTATTCTGCATCTAAGTTGATTTCTTTATCGTTTTACATCTCAATCTCTGTAGATACGCAGAAAACCTGCCGATGGATGTCTGACTTCAAACACAAAGGGACGAAAATTTGAGGGACCAGCTAAAAACCATCCGAAGGGGAATTCTATGCAATCGTCTAAAGCCTCATTATCACCTAATAATCAATCTCAATGCGTCTCCACATCATTTGGTCAAAGCTGAAAAGTCTTGTGGTTGTTATTGGGAACTTTAGTAGGAAAGATGCATCTTTGACCCACGAAGACGGTGCTGAATTGTTACGGTTCTGTCAGTTGAAAAGCAAGCAACGGAAGGACAAACTCAAGAAATGGATTTGAATCAGGTTTCACCGACAACACCGGAAAGCCCTCTATCCTTTGGCGATGCAAAGGATTCTGATGATGACAATTCTACATGCATGTAAGTTTTCATTGAATCGAAGCTTTTGGGTTGTTGGGATTAATGCTTGCTCAGCATAAAACTCCTATATACCACGGGTGAGTTGGTAATATATGTAGAAATTTAACAATGATTAATGCTTTATGAACTGGTTTATTTTTTTAGGGTAAATTAATTAAACCTCCTCTGTATTTTCTGTCAAATGCTTTAATATCATTGGGCAAACTCCAAACTCCAAGGGAAGGGGTCTGTTTGTACAAGTTAACAGAAATATCAAGAGATATTTTGGGGGGTGAATTGTCATAGCAAAAGGGAGGTTAGGAAGATGAGAACAACTTGAGCACAGCTTTAAATACTTAATCATTTTTAAGTCCTTGGATTGTAGTGATAATCACGTATTTTGTTCACATTCTATGTGCAAATTCGATAACCAATTCAATCATTTGGCTGGGCTTTCGATCCGCCAGCAACCTGGTTTTTGGACTTCGGCTAGTTAATTTTTGAGGGATGACCATCAAGGTTAAAATATCATGACATATTATTGTGTGTTGTTCTTGATATTATATATATATATATATATTGTGGCAATAATGAAAATAAATTTTGAACCTTTTTGTCACAAATTTCATTTTCTTTCAATTTTTTATCAACCAAAATAATAATATCATTAATTATTATACATACAATACTCATTAGTAGATGTATAATGGAAACATGCAAGACCCATACCACACCAATAAAACATAAATCAACATGTGAACCCACATCAATAACATGCTGAAATTTGGCTTGACTCGGTTTTGTTGCACTCCTACATATTCAATATCGGCCTTTTGATTTACAAATATGACTCGAGTTAGCCATTTATGATTGTGATGATTTTAACAAACCAAGAAATCACGGATACATGTTTGATTCTAAGGACATGGCATCTTCCAAAATTAGTAATGCCTCAGTTGCCAAAGGCCATAGTGATACAGGATTAAGGTTTTCGAGGAAACTGTACTAGCAATTATTTATGCCAACTGTGAGGTTTAACTTGAATTGGGATATGCTCCTCAAAAAGTGCACTTCACACCTAACTTACAACTACATCCCATCCTCTATTAGAAATATTTTCCCATAAATAATAAATACAAGTACAGGAGATGTCCCTGATGTGCGGTTAGGACATGCTGTGAGACGCATTTTGTAAAGAGAAGATCTGAACTCGTTCAACTTTTGAGATGCATTTATGACAAAGAATAGATAAAAGTTCCTTGAATTATGGGCTTAAATCCAACCAAGACAAAAAGGTCTCAGTTTTTATGTCTCTTCCAGTCTGATTGGTTGGTATAGCAGTCAACCTGAGCTATTCGGTTCTGTTGACAAAATTATATGCAACTGAATCAAACTGACTGGTGTACAGACCCTACGGCTAGGCAACCTATCAAGGATGAACAAGCCAATATGGAACCCGTAAGTCCATGTGTATGAAACATTGGCATGTTCAGTCTTGCCTAGCCCACTTTATTAACAGCTAGGGGTGGAAACGAATTGAGCTTTTCATGAGTTATTGGAGTCCGGCTCGTGAATAGCTAGAATTATCTTGGTTTAAATCGAGCTTCAAGATGAGTTCGAGCCTGATACATAGAATCATTTTCTAATCGAGCCAAGCTCGAATTTAGTAAAGCTTGGCTCATGAGGCTGATGGGCCTAATCTAGCCCATCTGGACTCGGTCAAGAAAAGTTTCTATGAGAAACCTACTAAGTACTAACTAGGACTAGGGGTAGATTCGAGCCGAGTTTAACCAAATAGTTAGATATTCGAGCTCGACTTACCAAGGCAGTACAAGGCTCAAGCTCGGTTCGAGCTAGAACCTTGAGCTTGAGCTCGGCTCGAGTCAAAAGCTCGTAAGCTCAAGATCAGCTCGACTTGAGAAAAATGTTTTATAAAAAAGAAAAATTATATATAAAAAATATTTTTTATTTAATATTTAAAAAATTAAGAATTATAATAATTAGTTATTATTATATATAAAAATAAAAATACTATATATAATATTTTTATTATGTATTATTTTCTATAATTTTATATTATTATTATTATCATTATTATTATTATTATTATTATTATTATTATTATTATTATTATTATTATTATTATTATATGTATGTATGTATGTAGCTATTCGAGCTTGGCACACGAGCCTCACGAGCCAAGCTTTATTAGGCTCGAGCTCGGCTCGGAGCTCGTTTGAAACCGAGCTGAGCCGAGCTCGAATAGCTCATAATGAACTCGGCTCGTGGCCACCCCTACCCAGGACTAACTTTTGGATCCTTTGGTCCACGTATTCATGGGTACAACACCTGTTCTTATGAGTTTGTCATTGTATAGGTGGGCTGTGAGGCATACTAGGCTGTTTGCGCACTGATTGTGTGCTTACTTGGGGGGTATTTTACAATGTGAAGGCTTTTACTTTCATTTGTTTCTGAATTTGTCACATCAGCAAGGAAATTAAATTTGTTTTGAGAAAAACAAAAACAAGGTGGTTTTGTTTTAGAAAAGGGATTCAGGTTTTTGAAACTATTAAGATTATGGTTTTAAAAAGGGCAAGTTCTGGAGTACAGATATTATATGCTTTATGAGATGATGAGATATCATTTTGATATCAAATTAACCAAAAAAAGCAAGAATGTGTTTTGGTTAGTTGTGAATAAAAATGCAACATTTTTCATATTTTTGTTTTAAGAAAAAATTTGTTTTCAAGATAGATGATTTTATTTGTTTTTGGAACTCAAAACAAGAGAAACAGTTCACATTGAAGAACACTCCCTTAGTGTGCTTGTCATACCCAGACTCAATTTGAAGCTGCTACTAGAAATTTGTAGTGTGCACCCTTGCATGTGAGACCCATTTTGATTAATTTTATACGCAAGCCACTAGTATTTTATTGATCCTTCGATATGACATTTATCCATCCGTTCCTTAGGTTCAGTTTGGAAGGAGTATACAATATAAATACATACAAAATAATAGGTTTGGAAGGAGTACAAATACAAATATGTACAGTATAAATATATACAAAACAATACAAAATACAGATTTTGCACTCTACATATTTGTATTTATACTCCTTCCAAGCCTTAGTTTGGAAAGAGTACAAATGTAAATATATACAGTGCAAATACAGGTTTAAAAATAGAAAATACAAGACTTTGCATTATATGTATTTCTATTTGTACTTTTCCAAACTGAGCCTTAAGAGTCAAGCAAGCCTTCAAAAGAGAGAAAAGCATAAATGACAAAGCAACTCTGGTACTGTTGCTCAGACCCAAAAACAGGCCCTTAGTGGATTGAGTGCAGGCGAATCAATGGATGATTCAGGGTATGTTTGGATGGACCACGAAACGTGGTTGACGCAATTTTCCAATTTGTCATTACTGCGTCTTTTGAGCATCTGTTTGTTTGGATAAGCTTCGCACAAAGCAGCATCCAAATGGTGGTGGCACCCAATCTGCTAAAATATGCTCTTTCCCCTTTTCCTTTCTTTGGAGCTACAGTCTTAGGTAAATCTTATTTTCCCATATTCCAAAACTACCTGAAGACAGTGATCACTCTGTTAATGAAAATATCACTTTCTGGTCTGGATTCAACAGGATCTCTTATTTTTGTGGGGTCTTCGTTTTCATTGGATCATGGTTTATGAGGTTTTCGGCTTGAAGATGACCAACCCAAATCTAGCTTCTCATTCAAAACGGGTTGTTAGCATTTAGCACAAGTCTTAAATGATAAGCAAAAAAACATTCCAGTTCGGATGCATTCATGTCGAAGTGGACCCATTTGCAAAATGCAAAAACAGAAACAAGGAGAAAGAAAGCTTTTGTGTGAGAGAGAGAGAGAGAGAGAGAGAGGAGGCCTTAGTATTATTCAGTTTCAGGGTTCTCCTGAAAAAAGTAGAAACAAAAGCCTCTATATAGTGGAATTCAAACTTGAAAGAAAAATCATCTCTATATAATACACTTACAGTCTGCAGATGCTATATATATCAATGTTTATAGCATGCATTACAATCTGTTTACTACTCATACGCTTACTATATATATCTGTTATACTAGCTAAGAAGCTGTCATACTACGACTGTCACGCAAGTAACGAACCGGCTCATCAGTTTCCTTGATTGTTTGTAGCCCCAGAAACCGACGGGGAACGACCGTTTTGGCTGCCTAGGCCGCCTGAACCACCGGCACCACCACCTGACGCACCTCGACCACTTCCAGAGCCGTAACCGACGCCACGAGCCCAACCACCACCATCACCACCATAACCAGAACCATACCCAGAGCCAGACCCAGAGCCAGAGCCAGACCCAGTACCATAACCATAGCCAAAGCCCCTCCCATTCCCACTTGGAGACCGGGCAGACCCAGAACCATACCCCCATCCACTTCCAGGACTGGACCCCCAACCCCAACTGTAGTCCCAGTTGCTACCATGACCGGACCCAGAGCCACTACCCCCAGTTGGGGCTCCGGTTCCACCGCCGGGAGTCCCCGGCATCTCCCTAGAGAATGCTTTTCTTCCAAAAGTGCCAGTGTTGTATGCCTCAGAAGGGTAGGCAAGCAAAAAGAGGAAGAGGAGGAGATGGAGGGTGAATGGATTCTTCTTGTTGGGCTTCATCTTCTTCTTCTTGCTTCCTTTTCTCTCTACTAAACTTGACTACAAACTACGAAGTGTCTCGTCTCCGACTCTCCGATAGGAATTCGGAATTAAAATGTTGGTATCACACAATGGGCTTGCTTGGACCCTCCATTTATTAGTATCAGCTAGGTCCTGGGTGATGATATTGGGCTCCTCCTCCCGTGACAACTGACACCAGTCCACTCCTATATAATATTCAATTGGGTAAATGGAATTACAAAACTACCACTAGCAAGTGGTTTTTGGTCATTTACTTGAAGTAGGACTGTAGGAATATTTTAGGAAATCAGGGGAAACATTTCAATTGGGTATTTCATGATTTTTTTTTTTTTTACCTTGTTACAGTGATGATGGAAGGATGAGTGATTGAGTGGGGTCGATATATCACGTTTAGAGGTCGTCACTTTAACCGCCCATGCCACAAAGAGACACGTGTCAAGAAAAGCACGTGTTCGTGGATATTGCTTTTGGTTGGTAATTGATAGCTATAGTTGGGTGGGACCTGAGTATAAAGTTGTGGATGAATTCGATTTCCACATAGCACATACCCTTGGTTCGGACTTCGGAGTTCCTCATGAAATCATTTTCACCTTTCCGACGTGTCCAAATCCAAACTCTTCATCTCCTACTTTGGGCCTGTAGGGCAGGTCCCATATTTACTGCTTGGTGTAAGAGCAAGAGCATACATTCTTATAAGTCATCATATATAGCGTGGAATCTCATGGAACTTCACATGTGATTCCAATAAAATCATCCAAGTTGCTTGAACCAGAGAGAGAGAGAGATTGGAACTGTCCCAACAACAAGGGATCTCGGTGGGTTTTCCAATATCCATTTATGATTTACCTGACAGACAGACAGACTACACAAAAGGATCTGTTCGAAAGTGAATGGTGGCTTGCCAATTTGCCATGGTTCATGAGAGTCTAGTCTAGTCCCATTCTAACGCAGTCGGTGCTCACCAAATATCTAGATTTGGTAAATATCTTTCTTGTGGGGAGCTACAGCCTACAGGAGCAGCAGAATGGCTGTCAGATTCATCACTAAAGAACCACCACAGTGATTCTACCCTTCCAAAATTAAAACCTGTACGTTGTTAGAAGAATAAAAATTTGCTGAGAACAGAAGCAATTGAAGCTGCTTACTTACCCATTTGTTGGTTTGGTTTAAGTCAGCAACATATAGTGATGAGGAGGGAATAAATGGCATAACAGAGCTCCTCGGCCCAAAAGACAATTATATTGCCAAATGGAGGAAGCAGATTCATTAATCAATGAATCAGTGTGGTTTGGACATTGGAGTGTTGCTTTAGCTAACTACATTGTGGAGTAGTGATCAGTTTTACTCAAAGGGGTTTCCATTTACTGAACTAAGAAACCATATTGGCTATTTGTAATTGCAGAAGGGCAAGAAACAATACTAGAATGGTGTGATAAAGGTCTAATTAGGGGCATGTTCCGAGATATTTGGCATTGTCTAATTAATTGATTCCTCTTAACTCTACAAGCAAATTACACATACACGTGCCTAAATTCAAGTTGCCTAGAGAAAAAATCTAGATATTCAGTCTTCATTCTTTAGTTATTGGGGTGAAAGGAACCATATATATCTATGTAGAATTGTAGATTGTGGAACAAGGACACCATAACTCACCCACAAATGAATCATGGGTTTGAGGACCGCCACAATGGAGTAGTAGTAGAGGCCTCTAGTTCAATGACTTTCACTTCACCACCACCAATTGTGGTTCTCTTCCCTCTGGTAGAGCAGAGTACGACGGATGGCATTGGCATGGGCATGGGCATGGGCATGGGCATGGGCATAGGTCAGGTGCTGAGTTAGTTCTATCTGCATCTGCACAATACAAGTTTGTATTCCATCCTTGGCTTGGCCTACAAAACAATGGGCTGGACCTAAGTCTCTTTGAGCAATTCTTCACATGTTCGATCATGTCCTACCTTAATGACAACTTTGTGTTGTGCTCCTTCCATTTCCAGCTAAGTTGTGTCAGCCCAAAGTCCTGCTTGGGCCCAAGTCCTCCTTAAGTTCAAAATCGCACTCCAGCTGATACCAACCCAACCCCATGTGCGGAGGAAGCTTCTCTTGGGAGTTGGGTCCCCTTCCCTTCCCTTCCCTTCAGAACAAAATGAATAACATGGAAATCAAATTAAGAATCATCAATCCCAAAATCCCAAAGTATATATGAGCAAGAGCAACCACGAACAAAGTGATTAATTGAAGAATTCAGCCTCGTTTGTTGCGTAATGCCAGAGTCATCAATCACCACCAAACCACTTGGTCGAGAAGCCTTGAGCGCTCAATCTGGGGACTGGGGTAGGTGCTTCTGGCCTTCTTCTGTTTTTAGGGAGAAAGCAAACCTAGAGGCATTCGTCTCGTTCCATGCATGCTTAATGCTGTTGCGCATTAGCTTGCTAGGTTTATACAGATTACAGTGGACAGAGGGTCCATGACTCCATCTCCAACGGCAAGACAATGAGACCCTTCATTAATTCATTTGTGCACGCGTTAATTGATTTGACACGCATGAATGAATTAATGAATGGCATCCATTTTCATGCTCATGCGACACTTTGAGATAATGCCAGATTGAAGGATTCAAATCTCGTACATATATATAACTGGATATTTTCTATTCCTGGTGGGAGATTCCATCAATTATTCTCCTTCTCTTATTCAAGCTTTGGGTCTTATCATTACTTCTTCATAAAGGCTTTGTCATTTGTCAAAGTTTGAAGCAGGAAAACAGGAAGCACACCCATCCGAGTCCGGCTTGGGTCAGGACAAAGCCCGTTCCAACAAGCTTTACAGTCTTGGGTTATGTTGGGAATGTTTCCTTAATTATGTGATTTATTTCAGAGGAGATATTCCAATGCAAGGTTATAAGGGGTTGCTCGAACGGTGCAAGCACCGAATTGCTTTGACAGAAGCCAAACTCCACCCATCAGATGGAATGCCATATGGTGATATAGAAAATATATGATATCCGAAAAACATCTTATAAATCAACTGGAATCATAAACTTGGTAGCAAATCAAGTATTATTTATCAAAATTCATGGGTGGGTTTTGATTGGTCAAAACTCTTTCCATATAAGAATTCGTTTTTGTTTTTTTTTCCCTGTATACCTTAGTTATTTTAGTTTTTCTGTATTTTTCATCTATTTTGTAATTATTGTCTATGTCTCACACAATTGTATTTTATTGATGTGTATTTAACTTCATTTATTTATGTATTTTATTGATGCTTCTCTTTCCTCCATTACCCCACCCTAATTCTCCCTCTCTCTCTCCCCTCCCCTTTCTACCACTGCTAATCTACCATGTCATCACCCATTCACTCACTCTCAATTCCATAACCATTGTGCTATACATGGAAAAAGTATAATCAGTTGCCTTGATTGAAGTAACGTAGGTGGAAAGGAGTTCTTGGAGATACCCACGCACTTTTTGGTAAGTTACAATTACTTGGGTAAATACATTTACCTAGGAAACACTTATCCAGGTAAGTGCATTTACCCATATTCTTTTATTTTCCGTGCAAGCAAGACAATAACCATTTTAGCCATAAAAATCCATTATTACAAGGGGCATTTTTGTCCCTTTTAAGTGTTGGCAATTTTCCCCCAAGGTGGAAAAGTTATTTATTCACCTAGGATTAGGAGATGGGTGTCACTTACCTGGGTAAGTGATACTTAGGAAAATAAACTTTCTCTTGTCCCCACATAAATCTGGAAAAAGAAAATGAGATTCTTGGACAATAAGAATCAAAATCTTATTGACCAATTTTTCCCCTCCTAAAATCCAGAAAAAGAACCCGTTAAATTTTAAAACTTAACGTAAATGGTAATGAGGTGGTTTATTCAAGTTGTAGATGTAATGAAGGTGGTTTATACTACTAAATTTTCGTATTATATTGCTATCAGGTCGGGTTAGTGAATATTTTGTGTTGACGATGGTTTGCAACTCAGCAACTAGGATCCCATGATTTGGGTCACCCTGGCAGTAGAGGATTGTTTTCAATCATCTTGATCTAGTTCTGGGACGGTTGCACAATTATTGACGGATTAAGAAGATGATAATAGAAGCTCAGATCCAAACAAGATTCGACCCTCACCCATCTAACACCCGATTCCCAAAATGTTTATAATTAATTAATATATAAATTACTAAATAATCGGATTATTATTCATTCAATTTTGGTAGATTAATTAACTAAACATGGATTAGGAATTATTGTTAACATTAAATAATAACCGAATTATTGCAATTAAATTAAAATTACTGTATAAATTTTTATAAATTATTAGTGATTATTAATTACCATTTCAAAAAATTATTATTTTTTAAATTATTATTTATTAATAATCACTACATTAAATATTTGTAATTTTTAAAAACAATTTTGGTAATTATTAAATTAATTAGTTTAATTTGGATAATTAAATTCATTTGTGAAATATTTTTATAATTCCAATAATTACTGATATTATTGAATATTATTCAGTAAATATCAACACTTAGATGATAACTTTCTGTAATTTTGGTAATTGGAAAATTTAATTACTGATAATTACTTGCTGAAACTTATTGATTTTGATAATTTAGTTTCAAATGTTTTGGTAGTTTAATTCCAGAAACTTTTGAAAATTAATTATTGAAATAAATAATTATAAAAATGAAGAATGAATTAAAATATTAATAAATATCAATTTAATAATTAAAAATATATGAGTATTTTTCATTGGAAAATTTATTTAAATAAATATAAATTTTATTTTACATTTTCAATCATTTTGGTCAATTTATTAGTATTTAATGATATTATCAAATAATAATTAAAAATTTTCAATAATTTTTTAGTGGAATATTAATTTCAATAAATATCAATTTATTTTTTACATTTTCTGAAATTTTGATATTTATTATAATTTTTGAGTAGTAATTAGTGATTTTGGTAATTTAATTTCTGACTATTACTAGTTTTGGTAATTTAATTTAGTGAAAGTTAAATCATAAAATTTTCAATTATTAAATATGATGATGCACAATCCGGTCATTCTTAGCTGCTGGTAACCTTGCCTCTGGCGGAGTCGAAGGTGCCTGAAACAAGGAAGAAATTAGAGATTTTCGGGGA